AATAAACATATTACGCAAACAAATTCGTGATATTAACGCATACGCTGACGAACAGGGTCAAACCCGCCGGGACGCACACACCCTCGAGAGGGAAACGCGAGACCCAGACAATGACGACAAAAAATATGACGTTGTGTACGGACGAACAGAGAATGACGCTAGACACCGACAAGGCCCGCAGGAGCCTTTTATATCGTTAAAAGAAGCACGGCAAATGATTCCGGAATTTGACGGGACGGCCCAACATAAATTACAGGAATTTCTAAGCACATGCACGTACGCCTTGACAAACATACACCCTGCTAACGAGAGAGGATTGGTGGGAGCTATCCTATGCACAAAACTCAAAGGCAAAGCAATGCTAGATTTTCAAACGCGAGATATACAGACGTATGACGAACTGAAGCAACAGTTGGAATGTACGTATCAGAATAGGCGAAGCACTACGCACCTACAGATAGAATTCAATTCGTTGAAATAAAGAACAAATGAAGGCGCGCAAGCTTTCGGAACGCGCGTCGACACATTAGCTATGGAGCTGTTTGAATCTATGACGGAGGGAGAAGGTGTTACGTCCCGTTCGCAGTCGCGGCGTGTTATTCGCGAGTGTATGATTCGCGTTGCACGTGCTCGAACTATTGCGCGAGACAACGTCGTATTACGGAAATTTTCCCGGGATACCCACGACGAAGGGTTTTCCGACAAAGGTTGCACGATGCGGAAGGAGGGGGAAGAATGTATTACCCTTAAGGTAGCAGTTACGACATGGAGCCTAACTGTAATTCTACAGTTATGATTGTGGTTCCGTCTTCTATTCTCGCCGGGACGCTATCTGGGTTCCGCGAGTAGTCTTCGTATATAGACTCGCAAAGTTCGCATAAATCACCCGCCCGTGAGAGGGTGAGGCGGTTGCTGCAAGTTCCGCAAACTATCCCAACCAGTAATCCACCTATGGTTAGGCTATGTTTCCGGATCCGCGTCCAGAACAATTTAGAAGTTCGAAGTAACGCGGCGAAGCATGAAAGACAAAGAGCGGCTTTAGTTTCAAAATGAATGTACCCGATACCGACTTGACAGTAATACGGAGGCTCGAGAGGTATTAGGAGATTAACTCCTGGGAGAGGGGTTACACCTCTAAAGGGGATTGGGCACATCTATAGCTGCCACGTAAGTTGTATTTTAAAAGATCATGCGTTGTTCGCTCGTAGATGGTTGATGAGACCGGACGTTGTCGAGAAGTCGATAAATGTCGGTAAAATGAGTCGATGTGGCGTCGATACAACGTCGGCAGATGTCGGTAACGAACGTCGGTAGAGACCGTCGGTAAGTGGTTGGTAATCGTTGGTAACGAACGTCGGTAAGATGTCGGTAAAAGAACGTACGTCGGTATATTGTCGGTAACGTCGGTAAAAGAACGTACGTCGGTATAATGTCGGTAATGTCGGTAGAAGAACGTATGTCGGTATAATGTCGGTAATGTCGGTAAAAGAACGTGTGTCGGTATATTGTCGGTAAATCAAGAGTGTTCTCAATTGATTATTGTTTAAGTGACTATTTTGTTGTACGGATTTTACGAAGTTATTTCTTGAGCCACGAAGATTTTCAAGAGATTGAATTATTTGCGTTTTTCCGTGTTAGAAGTTCGAGAGTTGCACCGCGTGTAATGGGCGACCCTAGTTTTATAGCCTGACCCTTTTTTTATAGCTTCCGCAGTGACGATGGAAAAGAGGAAAAATGCGTCGGAGATTTTTCTAGAATGTTCTCTTCCACGTGGTAGAAGCGTCTCTGAATTTGCTAACACGCGCGATTCCTTAGGTTAACATAAATTTCACTTACCTTTAGTAGCACTTTCTTGATCGTGTCGGCTCGTACTTGGAGGTAGTGCGTGCGGCGAGGGTCGTTCACTGGGATGTTTGGCGGCGGCAGGCGTCGTGGTTGGAACGTTATTGGTATGCACTTTCACTGTAGGAGTTTGTTCGAAATTGAGAAGAAATTAATATAATTATTTCAGTCTGTATTTTTCTGTCTAAAAATCGATATTTTCTTTCGATGAATATGCGAAAAAACCGCGGAAAAAAGGCTCGCCCGATATAAACAAGTAGGCGATATATCAGGATTATTTTTAACAAGCTGTCAATAACAACAACATTGCTTAACCGAAAGCAACGATCACCGCATTGATTATCAATGTAATAGACATGCGCCGTTCGATCACGTGGCTTCCGAAAGCCAATCGATCTCGCTATCGAGCATTTCGCGCATGTCAGGTGCGTGCTTGTTTCGCGTAAATTACGGGGCCTCCAATAAAGACAGGCGCCCTCGCGTCACCTTCGAACATTTTTAAATAACCGAAATTAATTGGTGAAGTAAAAATTAGTGGGGCTTCAGTACCGCACCGATAAAAGAAGCGCCCACCAAAATTGGGCGGCTAGTCTCTCGAGTCTCAGTACGTACAACCGCTATTAAACCGCTTAAAAATTACCGCAATTATTACCGCACACTCACTTGGAAATCGATCTCGGCTTATCTATTGGAACTTTGTAAAATTACTGTATCGTTAAATTGTGAAAGTAAATTCTGTGTTAATTATTAAAGAGTGAATGATTTCTATCGGCCTTCTAAGACGCGCTCTCCTTCTCGCGTTCGCGCAAACATAACATTTTGGTCCTTCGAGCCGGATATTTTATCAGTTCGTCGCGCCGGCACGCGTGTGAACATTCTTGAAGACGATAGTGAAGTGCCTGAAAAGGAAATACTGTAAGTGTCACATCATGGATGCCGCTATATTATTAGATAGTCAGCGTGAGATCCAAGTTCGAATCTCACGCTCGGTCGAATACCTGAAGAAGATGGGCGCTCCTAACATCACATCCAGTGCCGTAACTACCCGCATCAGACTTCTTGATCAAGCCTGGGATAAGTTCGTCATCCAGCACGATCAGCTGCGTATTGCCTTGAAAGATAAGTTCAGAGAAAGTGATTACGTTACTTCAGGACTCCATGATTTGACTGAAAATACGTACGTACAGCAAAGGAGCATCCTGGACGGCTACGCTGAACGCATTCGGTCAGCCTCGGACACCGTCAAGCTAAACGAAGCCGCTCCTCGAACCGCATTACCTCGAGTCAGGATTCTGCAGTTTTCGGGAGCTTACTCCGAGTGGCCAACCTTCCGAGATCTCTTCCTGTCTGTCGTCGGTGATAACGCCACCATCTCTAACATCGAACGCCTGCATCATCTTCGGTCGAGTTTGAACGGACAGGCTGAAAAATTGATAAGTTCATTACCGGTGACAGGAGACAACTACGAACGTGCATGGACGATACTGTGCAAACACTACGAAAATGAGAGAGAACTCATCCGATGCAACTTCGCCGCATTCACCGCCGTGCCGAGAATGAAGAACGGAACTGCTGACGAACTGCATCGCATCCACAACGCTGCCGTCACAGTCGTCAACGCACAGGAGAGTATAGGTCGTCCCATTGAATCTCATGGAATGGACCTCCTAAACTATCTTATCATCGAGCAATTCGACGCACACACTCGAATGGAATGGGAAAATTCCATATCCGACTCCAACAAGTCACCATCGCACGAAACACTTTTGGAGTTCATGACGCGACGGATGTTCACACTCAACGCCGTGCATCCGAAGACTCTCAAGAAGAACTTCGGAGAGTCTTCACGAACGGCGAAGACACACGTTGCGAAGCACGGAACTGACCTTCCACAATGCGCACTGTGCCATGAGAAGCACCATCTGATGACGTGTCGCGAATTTAAGACGAAATCCGCGACAGATCGAAAGGCCTTCATTGAGACGCACAGACTGTGTTTCAACTGCCTCGGAAATCATTATCTTACAAAATGTCAGTCGAAGAAGAACTGCTACACATGCAAGGCACGTCATCACACTTCACTGCACGACGCATACAGCACAGTCACCGCACACACACCAGAAGCCACTTCACTCGCCGCACTGCACAAAGCCAAGGAGCAGAAGGCTGTACTCCTCGCCACTGCTCGGGTGAACGTAGCCGATCGCCATGGAGCACCGCACGACGTCCGAGCACTGATCGATCAGGGATCAGAGGTGTCGATTGTTTCTGAAGCACTGGTGCAACGACTGAACCTGCCTCGATCACGCACCGACATGGCCATCTTTGGGATCGGAGGCGCACGACCAGGATCAACGCGTGGCAAGGTCACGCTGCACCTCACTTCGGACATCACGAACGCCCGGCTCTCCGTGATTGCGTTCATACTGCCACGCCTGTCACTTCTTCAAGGCTCCACGTCCAGCACACCAGAAGATTGGCCGCATATTCGAGGATTCCAACTGGCGGATCCTCAATTTCGCGAGAACGATCCAGCCGAGCTACTCCTGGGAGCGGAGGTGTGCTCCTTAATTCTTGAAGAGGGTCTACGCAAGGGTGGACCTCAGATGCCAATCGCGCAGAAGACATCGCTAGGATGGATCCTCTCTGGAGGCTCCGGCGTCGCATCCGCAGAAGAGCACCGTCGCACATTCCAGTGCACTGCCGATCACGAGCTATTCGAGCTGGTGCAGCAGTTCTGGGAACAGGAACGGGAGCCCAACGCAGTCACGACACTCTCCGCCGAAGAGCAGCAATGCGAGGACTTCTTCGTGCACACGCACACTCGCACCTCTTCAGGACAATACGTGGTAAAGCTGCCGTTCTCCTCACCAATCACTGCACTCCGCGAAACCCGCAAACCAGCCGAGCGGCTTCTCACAACGATGGAGAGGCGATGCGTCCAGGACCCTCGATTCGGCAATCTGTATCGCAGCTTCATGACAGAATACGAAGACCTGAAACATATGACGCTGGTGACATGCTCCACAACGAGCAATCAGTCAACGTACTTACCACATCATGGAGTACTCAAGGAGTCCAGTGCCACGACGAAGCTGAGGGTCGTGTTCAATGGGTCGTAGCGAACGCGAACTGGAGACTCTTTAAACGCACACCTCATGACTGGAGCAAATCTTCTGCCAGCTCTTCCTAACGTACTACTCCGATGGCGTCAACACCAGTATGTCTTCGTTGCTGATATAGAGAAAATGTATTGGCAGATACTCGTGCATTCGGATGACTGCAGATTCCAAACGATCCTGTGGCGTCATTCAACTGATGATGAAGTGCGAGAGTACCAGCTGAGAACGGTCACCTACGGTCTGGCGTGTGCTCCGTTTCTCGCCATACGGACACTCCGTCAGCTCGCAACGGACGAAGAAGAGCAGTTTCCTCGTGGCGCCGTAGCTCTGCGTCGAGATTGTTATGTCGACGATGTGGTCACCGGCTCAAATACGCTGAACGATGCGATCGCACTCTAGATGGAAATTCGCAACCTCTGCTTGGCGGGCGGATTTCCGTTGAAGAAGTGGGCAGCCAACGACGAGAAGATCCTGACTGGAGTACCAAGCGATCATCGTTTGCAGCAATTGCCGCCAGCTTGGGAAGGAGAGAGTCACTCCACGCTAGGACTCCGCTGGCACCCGCAACACGACCAGTTCTCTTTCGTGTTTCATCCGCACGCTGCCATCAACCACACGAAGAGAACGGTTTTATCCGAAACCGCACGGCTCTTCGATCCAATGGGGTGGCTCGCTCCAGTCGTGATTCGAGCAAAAATTTTCATTCAATCCACGTGGCTGCAAGGATTGGACTGGGACACCCCGCTGCCGCCATCCGACGCTCGAGAGTGGCAACGTCTTCTAGAAGAACTCCATCTTCTAGATCAGGTGCGAATAAAACGCTGGCTCGGGACCGGAGCAGATAAGGCCTCGCTGCAGCTTCATGGCTTCGCCGATGCATCCGAACGAGGATATGCAGCCGCAGTATACATCCGCATCACTGAAAGGAACGAAACGTCAGTAAGGTTATTGATGGCCAAAAGCAAGGTAGCACCCGTCAAACAAGTGACCTTGCCGAGGCTGGAGTTGTGCGCCGCCACGCTACTCACCAATTTGACGCGACATGTCAAACAAACGCTCGACCTGGCAACATCAGACACGTACTTATGGTCAGATTCAACAGTGACCCTCCAATGGATTCGCGGTCACTCCTCACGCTGGAAGACTTTCGTCGCCAATCGAGTCGCTCACATCCAGACGCAGCTGCCTAATGCACAATGGAGACACGTAGCTGGTCGCGACAACCCTGCGGACTGTGCATCAAGGGGTATTAATCCAAGCGAACTAATCAATCACGCTTTATGGTGGACAGGACCTACCTGGTTGTCACAGCACGAATCGGCCTGGCCAAATTCCGTGATGGAGATCCGAGGAGACGACGTGCCAGAAAGGAAAGCCACGAGCCTGATGACTGTCAACCGGGTCATCGTCGAGCCAGAAATCCTGCTTCGCTTCTCATCTCTGCATCGCCTGCTACGGATATCCGCATGGTGCCGTCGCTGGCTGCGCGCTTCTGAGCCGACTTACACCGCTGGACTAACGTTGAGTCCTGAGGAACTCGACATGGCACTCTTTCGCTGGCTTCGAGAAGTGCAGACACTGCACTTCACGGACGAGATCACCGCAGTCGCAGCTGGACGCTCCGTCGCACCACGCAGCCCATTAGTCAAGCTGACTCCGTTCCTCGACGACCATGGTGTTCTGAGAGTGGGAGGTCGGCTTAAGCACGCCCTGCTGACACAAGATGAGAGGCACCCGATGATCATTCCAACCTCGTCGTGGCTGACTCGTCTGCTGGTGGAATCCTGTCACCGTCGGACGCTGCATGGCGGAGTGCAACTTACTCTGGGGCTGCTTCGACTGCGCTTCTGGATTCCACGAGGACGCACAGTTGTGAAACAGCAACTACATCGCTGCATCACCTGCACAAGATGGCGAGCAACGACGCTGCAGCCACCGATGGGTAATCTACCCCGCGATCGGGTCACTCCGACTCGGCCATTTCTGCGCACCGAGTGGACTATGCAGGACCCATCCTCATCCGAACGAGCAAGGGACGAGGACACCGCGCTTATAAGGGCTATATCGCAGTATTCATCTGTTTTTGGTCCAGAGCCATCCACCTCGAACTTGTCTCGGATTACTCTTCAGAGGCCTTCATCGCCGCTTTACGTCGCTTTGTCTCACGTCGAGGTCTCTGTACGGACATATATAGCGACTGTGGAACGACCTTCATCGGGGCTGACCGCACTTTACGGGAACTCTTCGTCGCTGCATCCACAGAGGGTCGTGGAATCGCACGCGTAGCTGCTGAACATGGCATACGGTGGCACTTTAATCCACCAGCAGCTCCGCACTTCGGCGGATTGTGGGAGGCAGCCGTCAAATCCGCTAAGTATCACTTGCGGAGGGTGATAGGTGAAACCACTCTCACCTTTGAGGAACTGACCACTCTCCTCACACAAATTGAGGCCTGTTTAAATTCTCGTCCATTACAGGCACTCTCTGACGATCCAGACGATATTACAGCACTGACTCCGGGCCACTTCCTGATCGGCGCGCCGCTTCTCGCCATCCCGGAGCCAGTACAGGAGGACACCAGTGGATCCGCAGCATCACGATGGCATCATCTCCAGGCGATGCGAGATCACTTTTGGCAAAGATGGTCGGGAGAGTACATCCATGGACTCATCTCACGACCTAAATGGTTGAAGGTCGATACCACACCTCACATCGGAGCACTCTGCCTTGTGCGCTCCGAGATTTCGCCTCCAAACCGATGGCCTCTCGCCCGGATCACAAAACTGCATCCCGGCGACGACGGGATCGTACGCGTGGTCACCGTTCGAACCGCGACCTCCGAGCTCGTGCGTCCGCTCGTAAAAATCGTTTACTTCCCGACTTCACAACGGACGTAACGACACGCAACGCATAGACAGAAATACACGACACATCACATACGCACTGTAACCACTGTTCACATTCACACGCGTTATTTCACATCGAAACCGCGTGTCACTATTCTCAGCTGATCGCACCACACTGTCAACACGTGTTCATCGTTTCAGCTGATCGAGCGACATTCCACGCGATAATCACGTGTATCTCGCCGCGCCGGCGCGCGCCTACCCCACTATCAATCGCGATCAACATTCATAGCGACTTATTGTCAGCGGGTGACAAGGCGGGCGGGATGTTCGAAATTGAGAAGAAATTAATATAATTATTTCAGTCTGTATTTTTCTGTCTAAAAATCGATATTTTCTTCCGATGAATATGCGAAAAAACCGCGGAAAAAAGGCTCGCCCGATATAAACAAGTAGGCGATAAATCAGGATTATTTTTAACAAGCTGTCAATAACAACAACATTGCTTAACCGAAAGCAACGATCACCGCATTGATTATCAATGTAATAGACATGCGCCGTTCGATCACGTGGCTTCCGAAAGCCAATCGATCTCGCTATCGAGTGTCACGTTCAGGTGTGGTTTGTAAATTTTTTCCCAATAAGACATAAATAAAACTATCAAACATTATTTAAAAACCGAAAGGAATGACAAGCCTAGAAACTAGCGGGCGCTTCGTAGCGCAAGGAAAAACAAGAGCCCACAAAATTCCCCCTAGGCCGCGAGGCCCTACCGAAAACCCGAGAACCGCTTTAAATTCCGTTATCGTCGCACTAAAATTTAAATCGATCTTAACTCTATTCTTTCTAACTCTGTAAAATTCTCTATCGCTAAATTCTAAAAGTAAATTCTGTGTTAACATTACGAATAAATCAGTGTATGCTGAAAAACGCGCTCTGCTTCTCGACACCGCAAAATAACAGAGTTCATCTGCATACATTTAATTTCAAAATGTCCAACGATTGGATCGGCCTATGCTCATCAGGAATCGAAACATTCTTTATCGCGAATATCATTGTAGAGTCGCAAGGCGAAATTGAGTTCAACAAACGGCCGCATTTACGCAAGGAACTTGAAGCTCCGCCAGAATGAATTTCTCAAGGAAGTCGGATATTTGACTTAGCAGCGAACCAGACCCATCTAAAGTAATCGCGGTAAAGGAATTCCCCAGGCCCCGCAACGCGAAAAATATTAAACAATTCCTTGGCCTTGCTGGATACTATCGTAGATTTATCCCGGATTTTTCTAAAATTGCACGGCCCCTTACAGACTTGCTAAAGAAAGACAAAGCATTTGTTTGGGAAAACGACCAAGAAAAGAGTTTTACGAAACTCCGCGACGCATTATGCTCTAAGCCCATTCTCCAATTTCCCGATTTTACGCGACCTTTCGTCGTCACAACAGACGCTTCCGGTTACGCTATCGGAGGAGTCTTGAGCCAGGGGAAATCGGCAAAGACCTACCCATTACTTATACATCTCGTCTTTTGAATAGCGCAGAAAAAATTATTCAACAATCGAAAAGGAACTACTAGCTATCGTCTATTGCGTCAATTACTTCCGTCCTTATATATATGGACGAAAGTTTACACTAGTTACGGATCATAGACCGCTGGTGTGGATGCATTCCGTAACGGACCCCACCTCACGGCTCATCCGATGGCGCTTAAAACTTGCGGAATACGAATATAGCGTAGTATATAAGCCGGGAAAAATTAACGATAACGCCGATGCACTTTCCCGAAACCCAATCCAACCTGCTAACCTAAACGTGATAAAGCAAATCCTACCTCTTGAACAAACCCGAGAACTCTCCAGTTCCGAGGAATCACTATTTAACCCAAAAAAAAGGCGATCCGTCGAAACGCCGCAACAAATCGGAAGATCGTCGCAGCAAACGGAAAGCGACGATACAGACGACCCACCAAACACGCGATCTTCTAACAAAACCGATATCAACAACGACGATATTAACAATGACGAAACCGGCGAAATAAGCGAGACTGAGAGCGACAACAGTTCCGATCCTAGCGACGACACCCCTATTTTCGATAATATAAATGATCGATTCGTGCAAAGAACTAAAATCGGACCGCAAGTTATATCGATCCCAGATAATTTCGTCACGCGTAAGGATAACCTAGTCGTTTTTGTCACACAACAAGGTATACCAATCGACCTTGGAGCTCGCATGCTCCAAGAGAACAAATCTTTGCCCATGATTAGAGGAGCAGCTCTAGCCAGGGCAAAGGTAAACCGCGACGGAAATCGCCAAATTATATCGTTAGTCGTCAAAGAACGCGAATCGGGAATTACCGAAAAAGAGATACTACAAGAATCATTACAATCGCTGTTGGATGTCGTCAGAGAATTGGAACTGTCTTCTATCTCATTAGCCAGAGGCGATATCGACAACGTCCCCTGGAACGCGGTACACTCTTTACTAACGCGCATTCTAAGCGAAATTAATGTAAAAATATTCATTTGTAATAACGAAATATCTATTCCCCAAAAACCCGAGAGAGAAAACATTATCGCCGAAAATCATAATTCAGCGATCGGTGGCCATAAAGGCATCACAAAAACATACCAACGTATAAAGAAACGCTACCAATGGAACGGTATGAAAAATGACATTCAAATTTTTATAAAAAACTGTCGCCCTTGTCAACTGAAAAAATTAGTCCGCGTAAAGACCAGACAACCCATGGTTCTAACGGACACTCCTGGCACAGCCTTCGATAAAATCTCGATGGACATTATGGGACCGTTACCCGTCACACGGACTAATAACAAATATATACTTACCATACAAGATCTTTTAACAAAATATTCCTTAGCAATCCCTCTGCAACACGCTAACGCGATCGACGTAGCTGACGCGTTCACCAATGAACTAATATGCGTCTTCGGAGCGCCAAAAGCTATTCTAACAGATCAGGGATCGCATTTTCTAAATAGCCTAATGCGTAACATAGCAAAAAGGTTTAAAATTAAGCACTTCAAAACGACGGCTTACCGGCCGCAATCTAATGGCTCAATAGAGCGATCCCACCATGTCTTGTGGGAATACTTAAAGCAATACGTAGATAGAAACAATGATTGGGACAAATACTTAAAACTAGCGTCATTTTCTTATAATACTAGCGTACACGAAGGGACGCGATATACTCCCCATGAATTAGTCTTTGGGAGGATAGCCAAGTTGCCTTCCAATTACCCCGATGTCGCCGACGTTACGCTAATTATCTTACAAACCTTTTTAACAAACTGAGTGACGCCCAAGCCGTCGCCCGCGGAAACTTAATAGCCGCTAAACAAAGGTCAAAGGTCTACTACGACCGCCGAGTTAACGCCCAACAGTTTCAAGCGGGAACCTACGTGTACTTATTAAAAGAACCAAATAAAGGCAAATTAAGCAATCAATACACCGGTCCCTATAAAATCATTAGTCTCTTAGGTAATCGTAACGTTAAGTTAGCCATAAGTAGAAATAAGACAAAAATTGTACACGAAGACAAGCTAAAAGCTTCCCCACATCAAGACCCTATCGAGGAAGACCCCCACTCCGGGCCAGACGACTATATCTTGGATGCATCGGCGGAGGACCGGCCAGTAATCGACGAACCTCAGTAGAATGAAGACCTACGCTAGTATCCTAATAGCAGTCTCGCTGTTAGCCATAACCTCTGACGGACTAATAGGTTATGACTGCGGAGGGCATGGTCTAAACATTACTTCACTATCCCTCACGGATATCGGAGAATGTAACCTAGATAACATTGAAGCGGACAAAGAAGAAGTATATATACAACTGCTACAACTGAGCGAATTCGACCACACCATCGGACTCCAATGTAAGGTTGAAATCGATCGAACCATCTACTACTGTGGGATGCACTCACATGTATCCTTGGTGCACAATGGAAGGCGCGAATACATCCGCGAAGTATCGGCAGAAACCTGCAAGAAACTATACAACACCGGAACTATATTCCTGGGAAACAACGGCCTCATCACGGACATCAAGGTGAATACCACCAACCACCGTAGCTTGACCCTCGCAGGAACCACCAGAACCGACGGAACATGCTTCGGAACTCAGTTCAGCGACCCGTTTGGCACTTGGGATAACGTGGTCGTTCAAGCATCTATAAAAATTACCACCCGAAGACTCGAGCTCCCCGTCAGACATAGCACCAATGAAGTAATATTACCCTCCGGTGCTCGATGTCCCGTAGCTGAAGGAGAATGCAACGACGCAGATGGCTCAACCACATATTGGACGGCGCTACCCAGCGATAACTGCCACTTCAATCGCTACGACGTTCTCTACCAAGGCCTAGCGCACCGCCTCTCATCTAAGCCCACACAGAGGGAATCACCGACTATCTACACAGTCACCACGCAAGAAACCACTTTTGCTTTAGCACGAACCACGGAAATAAATGTGTGCGGCTACAGAATTTTGAGGACGGAACATCCCAAACTCTGCATACTCGAGACTCAACCTGGACATACGTTTAAGGGCCACTCCAGAGTCCCAATCGATAACCTCGATATATTTTCCTACGTAAATTCCAAATTCATTTACGTGGAAAAACACTTGAAAACACAATTGACACAATTGTATCAAGACATAATGGAACAAAAATGTGCTTTAGAGAGACAAATTCTACAAAACGCTCTCTCTCTCGCCAGCATCGCCCCGGACGAAATGGCGCATCGAATCATGAAGGCACCAGGCTACACCGCCATTACGGCAGGCGAAGTCCTCCATTTGATCAAATGCGTACCGGTGGAGTGCCGAGTACGACAAGCTGAAAGATGCTACAACGAACTCCCCGTCACCCACCAAAACAAATCCCTCTTCCTGTTGCCAAGATCAAGGATACTTACCAAAACAGGAACACCCAGGGATTGCCACGAACTACTTCCAGCGATGTATCAAGTACACAACATCTGGTATCGTTTAACTCCAAAGCCAGTGGAATCAATGGCGCCGCCGATGA